ATTATTCAGTGGACGACATATATAACGCCATTCGTGGAGTAGAAATGATCCAAAAGTATCCAGAATAAAACATGCAGTATGGCAATTAATTCCAGCGTGTTTGATGTTGTTGGCGTTTTTGCCACTCGCTCGGATGAGAACGATCGAATGAATCCAGATAACTGTGTGTGCCATTGAATGAGCCATCTAAAATGAACTTATGATTGCAGAAAACTTATAGCTGGAACTCACCGTATTTTTTGGAGAAGTGTCATCCTTGTTGTTTGGCAATGGAACTCGAGAATATGAAATTAGGCAGGCAGTGGTGGGAAGAAAAGATATTACAGGATAGTGCAGTTTAAAACAGCATGAGGTGTTAAGTGAAGGAACACTGAGAATTAGATCCAGTTAACTATTTAGTCCTTGGTCGCATTGTTAGTCAATGTATATTTACGCTATTTACAGGTCATATTTGCTAGAGCTTGATGTTTAAACAAGTCTATGTCGCTGAAGCATGTAAATGCTATTAAAGCTTGTTAACGAACCATCAAAGCTAATTAGTTGATATAGATGATCAACTTTTATTATCGATTGAGCTAGTAAGTTATGTGAACTAATATATATAACATCACGATAATATATGTGACCATTATTCAAAGGACTATACGAATACTGGGTTAACAAAAATAAAAACCGATTGAGAAGGTTAAGGTGGAAATAACGACCCAATCTGCCAGCTTTGGGGAAATTTTTGGGAATTTTGGGGAAATCCCCAAAGTGAAATAGCCTTCCCCAAAGTTTGGGGAAATTTTGGGGAAATCCCCAAAATTTTCGTAGCGCATTTTTGCACACTAACATTTCGTCGAGATAATATAAATAAGCCTCACAGTAGTAAATTTGAATAGATAAATTTACATTTCAATTCAATACAGACTTTTGATGAGGGATAATCTATCGAATTCCACCTCTTGTTTTAATACATCAGCAATCAGACAGTAGACAAAGAGTTGTCGGTTTTAAAGCACTTTTTCAAAATTTGAAAGCTATGCAGGTGAGTTGTCAGCGGTGCAGGTCGGAAAATTTGGTCGCTGTCTATGTTCACTTTTACTTAAGTGAATTATATCTTTCAGAATAATAATAGACAGCTCGATAAAATTGCGAAAAGGCGGGCAGCAGACACGAAATACCCTAGGTTGTTTGGCTGTTCCCGATCAACCTATTACAGAAGGTTGAGGAAAATAAAAGGAGTTTATAAAGAAGTGTCAGTTACCGAGCTGTAACGAAGAGACAGACAATCCAGTTGTCGTCACAGAATCGCGTACTAACGTAGCTACAGAGCAGTGGGCTAATATTGTCACAGATACAGCTACTGCTTCATGTAGTCACGTCCAGTGTTCAGACAACACAATCAACGGTAGTATCTGTTTAATTATTAAAATTTTATAGGTTGTGTGGTTTCAGAAATGTCCCCAGCCATTCATCTTTCGGTGAAAGACGAGTTAGACAAAATGGTCATTGAAATGATGAAAGGGGGTTATATAAGCATAAAGAAGGCTGATCAAATACTGGACATTTTTCGTGCGCGGTATCCAGAACTTCCAACGTCCGTCCGAAGTGTTCTACGTCGATGCAACGACGTGGAGCCTAAGATCCTAGATTCTGGAACGTATTACCATTTAGGATTGAAATCCAGTCTTTTGAGAATTTCAGGACACTGGCTACGGCGAATCCATTTCAACGAATTACAGTTGCAGTTAAACTACGATGGTTTATGTTTGTTCAAAAGCTCTAACCAACAGCTGTGGCCGATCCTAGGTCGTATAGTAGCTCCACTAGTTAGTAGTGTTTTCGTAGTTGGGATCTACTGGTGAAGTAGTCGAACGCGTTGACAACTTCACTTATCTTGGAAGTCTGATCAGCCCTAATGGGTTGGTATCGGACGAAATCTCAGCACGGATTCGAAAATCTCGTTTGGCTTTTGCCAACTTACGTCACCTGTGGCGAAGGCGAGATATCCGTCTATCAATAAAAGGACGAGTATACTGCGCGGCAGTCCGTTCTGTTTTACTTTACGGTAGCGAAACATGGCCATTAAGAGTAGAAGACACTCGTAAGCTGCTAGTATTTGACCACAGATGCCTTAGAAATATTGCTGGCGTCTGCTGGGATAATCGGGTAAGTAATAGTGAGGTTAGACGCAGGGTATTAGGAAAGGATGGTAAATCAGTTGATGAGGTTATGAATCTTCATCGACTGAGATGGTTGGGCCACGTGTTACGTATGCCTGAACACCGATTACCACGACGTGCAATGCTATCCGGTGTTGGGGATGGTTGGAAGAAAGTTAGGGGCGGCCAAACCAAAACGTGGCATCAGTGTTTGAAGTCATTAACTTCTAGTCTGAGCCATGTTGGTAGATGCAGACTACTTGGTTGGGGTCCGCGTGACTATCGTAACCAATGGTTGGAGACTCTTGGTGACATGGCTCAGAATCGATCACAATGGCGTCGGTGTATACACTCCCTGTCTTCCCTTAAACTAAGAGATTAAAAGCGCTTCATATCTTTCTTTCTACTAACCAACTCTTTCTTCTTGTACTATATCTCTATATGCAATCTTTCTCTTATATATTACCACCTTTTACCTAACCACTGTTATGAATCCGGTGTTCATCTTGTTGTGCTGATGCGGTATGGCAACCTGGACCGATGCACATATGTGCCTGGTCCTACGTTGTAGCTGACTGACTGAGTTGGGATCTACGGTGGTGAAGTAAAACCATCTGATTTCAACGACATGTCAGCAACACTTATAACAGAGTTACAGGAGTTGCTGACAGTAGGTATTAATGTAGATAAGTATCATCTACATTTAACAGTTAAATTAGTAGCTGTTATTTGTGACGCTCCAGCTCGCAGCAACGTCAAGTACATTGTGGGACACAATGGTATCGCTGGCTGTGACAAATGTCAGGTTTTAGGGACGCGAATGGGTGGTCGAATGACTTTCCCCAATGGTGAACACGACTTAAGAAATGATGTCAGTTTTCGTCGTAGGTCCCAATCTATCCATCATCGTGGCACAAGTTCATTTGAAAATTTGCCAGTGGATATGATTAAATGTTTCCCTTGTGAACCCATGCATATGATATATTTAGGTGTTACCAAAAAAATTGTTTCATTATGGAAGGAGCTAGCTATTAAGCGACTGAATAGGATGGATCAATCAATTATCGCATCAATAAATGATGCACTAGACTTATGTAGACAACACACGACATGCGATTTTCAACGGAAATGTCGTTCAGGTAGGACTCTAATGTATGGACGAGCCAATCAGAAGCGTTTAAGGAGTTTCAAGGTCACGACGACAAGTTCAATGCAAGATGCTCACATTCGATCGATTTACAGCAGATTTTAAAGAAGAGGTGGTTGTTCAGAGACTACAGCAGATGTGATTATTAAGAAGTTCCTGTGTCTGTGACTGTGGCAATCAAATGACCGCAGCAGGATGTGCAGACTACCGTGACAACATTGTATTTCGTTGCACTATATGTTGGAGAAAAAAGTCTGCTCGAACTGGCACTTTTTTGCCCGGTCACGGCTAAGGCTAAGACAAATCATGATAATCGTTGCAAATTGGTTTTTGCATATGTTACGGAAACTTCCGCCGTTCAATGGTATGAATATTGTCGTGATATATACGCAATGAAAATGACACGAGTACATGAATCATTTGGAGGAGTTGGAAAGATAGTGGAAATAGATGAGGCAGTAGTTAGAAAGCGAAAATACAATAAAGGATGTTTTTATCAAGGAAGATTGGGTAAGTACCACGGCTCCAGAGGACGATTATTATGGAGCCATATGGACGAGTTCTTATACCGCATGCACTATGATTTCAAAACTTCTAAACCTTTATCAAACCTCAACAAGTTCTTAAATCATTGTAATTCATCAGTTTTTTTAATATGTTTTTATTTTATACTAACTCTCTTCTGATTAGCTAATGTTCTCAAGGTCACTTAAAAATACGTTCAAAGGTCGTCCATAAAATAGAGTTTCACCGTCGTTCACTTAATGAAGTTTCTGTATGGAAAGCAACTGAATGTCGGTTGTTCTTATTATACTTAGGACCTGTAGTTTTTCATAATAGGTTACCATTATCAATGTACAGAAACTTCCAGTCACTCTCCTTGTCCATTTATTTATTATCGCACCCTAAGTTTCATAGCATATTCGCTAACAGTGTTAGGGTTTACATTAATAACTTTTTATTAGGTTACGAAAGGTGTTACGGTACCGAACACTTAATCTACAATGTGCATAGTTTAAAGCACATTGCAGACGACGTTATGGAACATGGTACTTTAGAATCGTTCGCAGCATTTCCTTTTGAGTCCTACATGAGAAAAATTAGGCGTTCAGTACACTGGATTTGCTGTGGCTAAACAAGCCGCACAGCGATATGCCGAAGAAGTTTACTTTCAAAGTATACTGAATCAGGATATGGCTGACAATGTCACTGAACCTGAGGTAACTGATAATTCTTCCAAGCTAATGGTCAGTTACAGGAACTCAAAGCTATCTACTACAAGGCCGGACAATGTAGTTATTGCCAAAGGTAGACCAGGGTTCGTAACAGAAATCCGTGATGGAGGTCTTATTAGGTTCCGGCCATTCCACAATCCTTCCGATTTATATACCGACCCTTTTCCATCCAGTAATATTGGTATGTTTAAGTGTTCTACCTTAAGCCACGAATGTACGTGGATAACAGTAACAGACATACTTTGTAAGTGCATGTGCTTGCGCACACAACATTATGAGGTAATTATCCCTCTTTTGCATACATTCTAGTAGCAGATGTGACATCATTTCTCAAGGACTGTTGCAAATATAGCACTTTAGCCAGTAAGAATCTGTTGGTTAGTGATTTTGCGTTCTCCATCAGGAAGTGTTAGTGAATTTTCATCAATGCAATAAATGTACAATTTTTCGCGCATGTGCATTTATTTACAGCATCAAAGTGGGAAATACATCTTAGTTGACGATAAGGAAAACAAACAAGTGGTCTGTATTCCGAAAAAATGGCTCCTGACCAACGATCATTACCTTTATCGTGATGATATCAGTGAACACGAAATCGTTGAGGGTATTGATGTTGACAGTCGATTCAACGTGAGAAAATGTGCCGTTATGCATCGTTGTGGTAAGTTGTAACCCATTAACATTTATTGTTTTCAGACGACTACAATGTAGCTCAGGAATTAAAAGTGTGTTTAGCAACAGTACTGGGCTACAATACTAACATCACGACTAACGATGAGACGCAGCCTTGTGACGCTAAAAAACCAAAAAGGTAAATTGTTCAACTTATTATATCATTTGTGTTAGAACTGTCAAACGAAAGCACAATGATTATCTATGCACCTCGGAAGAACTAGAGGTTGCTGAGGTTGAGGCTGGATTTGCCCCGGTGGAATTTCCAGTGGTCAACATTTCAACAGGAATGTTTTCTCCTATTGCGAGGTTTGTACCTACTTTATCAATACTCATATAGCAGTTCATCGACAGCTGACGTATCATCACCACCACTTCCACGTACGTCGACGGAAGTTGATAAACCGTAAGTTGCATTTACTGTATTCCTTATAACAAGTTTGTGCGATGATACAAACAAAATGTTAAGAACGCTCCTGAAATCGGTCAGTGAGCTGTCTACGAAAATAGACAAACTCATATTTTTGTGTCAACGCTCAGCCATGGGTGTGATCGATAGGCGTACAGAGGAAATGGATAGTGATGCTATACATTTCCCATTAAGAACGCATGAGGAGTTGCGTTCTTTAGAGGCAGCTTTAGAAAACCAAAAATACCGAGGTCATTTCGTAAGTTGTAAAAGGTGTTTGCATAAATTTTAGGGGGCAAGGTTACGCAACCTAATGTGTGACAATACTCGGAAATCAGCTAAAGCTTGTCTTCAATACATCCTGTCGCCGGAACTCGCGAACATTTACACTTTGCACGGAACCAGAAGTAAATTTGGTTTTAGTAAGTACAAATTTTACTCGACGGTTCAAAGTAAGTCAACTTTACTGTATTAACATATTTGTCGGTGCTTTGTGTTCACATTTCCGAAGTGCAAGCTGCCCGGAAAAAGAAATATTACACGCCATGGCTACAGCAAGCCAGGCCTTCTTGCATGAAGCAAGAGATAAAGTACATAAACGTGGATGGCGATCCAAAGAAAGGGTGAGCTAAAACTACTTAATATGTTTGTTATAATACATATGTTAACTTTGTCACACATTGTTCCTACTCATTCCCCTTCCTACTCTTTTCTATATTGTTTAATACCACTTAATAAAATGTATTATTCTGTTTTATTCCCAATAACTGAAGTTCACTTTGGGGTTTTCCCCAAAATTCACAGGATGTTAATCGTCATTGTATTTATCACTATAATCACTGTACTTCAATTACTGTAACAGCTTATTACTTAGTGATATAACTTGTCTCTTGTCTGTTTCCCTTTCAGCTGGCTTCGCAGGCTTTATCAGACGTTACTGTAAGTTCTTTGTTCGCATTAATAAGAACATTGTCATACTATTGATACATAACCAACCTTTCACATATCTCGACGCGTTATTATACACTAAAAATGATTTATTTATTTTTTAGAACATTAACAATTGTTGTACACCAAAAATTGAAGAAAGTGTGGTGGAATATTGGAAAAGTATCAGGAAGTTTACCAAAACAATTGTGAAGTTAAAAAGCCTCTTCGAACACAAGGCTAATAAACACGGATTGGAATGTGAGAGACTGGGTTACAGCCCTGGTTGATTATAGGTAAGAAACAAAATGGAAGTGGATGCAGCAAATTGTTGTACACGGAAAATTGAAGAAAGTGTGGTGGAATATTGGAAAAGTATCAGGAAGTTTCCAAAAACAACTGGGAAGTTAAAAAGCCTCTTCAAACACAAGGCTAACAAACAGGAACTGGATGTGAGCAACTGGGTTACAGCCCACGTTGATTATAGGTAAGAAATGAAATGGAAGCAGATGCAGCAGATTGGAAAAGTATTAGAAAGTTTACCAAAACAAATGTCAAGTTTAAAAGCCTCTACAAACACAAGGCTAATAAAGCGGGACTGGAATGTGGTAGACTGGGTTACAGCCTAGGTTGATTATAGGTAAGAAAGAAAATGGAAGTAGATGCAGCAGATTGTTGTACACCAAAAATTGAAGAAAGTGTGGTGGAATATTGGAAAAGTATTAGAAAGTTTACCAAAACAATTGTCAAGAAAAAAAGCCTCTTCAAACACAAGGCTTATAAAGCAGGACTGGAATGTGGTAGACTGGGTTACCACCAAGCCAGGGTACATACAGCCCAGCACGAAGCCAGGTGCATGTCATATTCAAACCACTGGAGCCTAGGGTAATACCATCAGGCCAGGGTACATACAGTCCAGCACGAAGCCAGGTGCATGTCATATTCAAACCACTGGAGCCCAGGGTAATACCACCGGGCCAGGGTACATACAGCCCAACACGAAGCCAGGTGATGTCATATTCAAACCACTGGAGCCTAGGGTAATACCATCAGGCCAGGGTACATACAGTCCAGCACGAAGCCAGGTGCATGTCATATTCAAACCAGTGGGGGCGGATACAGTCCTGCCTCTGGTTAGGTATTTGCTACTACACTATCGCCTGACTGTTCGGGCCAACGAGTCATTCCTATAGGCATCATAGCATATCAGTGATCCTATGATTGTCTGTTCGCACAGCCACGATATTGCCGTCTTGGCCAAACCCATTTCACTCAGGCCTTTTTCTGACCGCCCATCAATTATCCCGCGCATAGTAATAGCTATCGGTAGATGGTGGACCGATGCTTTATTGAGGTTGCATACCTGTCTGAATTTCTCATTTAAATCGTATGTGTCATACTTACGTATCTTTGAGTTCCACGATTGCGATAGTCTATTATCATTACATATTATCACATCCAATACAAAAATCTTACCTTTTGCACTTACCGACAGATCCGGTTTCACGTAACTTTTGCCCTTTCGGATGTACGGCTCCCGCATAACTGAGAGGCCCGCCCGCCTCAGGGAACCTTCCAGCTTCAGCATCACTCGATTGTGCCGAGCAATACGCAGTCTTTCGGTAAGTTTACATTCCTGGAGGATATGCATCAAAGACTCTGTTTTCTTACACCCACCGTTGCACCAAAGATCACCGCAGGATCTTCCACCCCGTGATGCCCTTGCCTTCGTTTTTAGGGTGTGGCCTCGTAGTTGTACGGCTTTGCGATATATCCAAGGAAACATCCCTTTCGGGGACGTGACCCATAGGTGTGATGATGTGCTCAGGCTGGAAACTTTAAGGCCCCCACCATCTAGGGTGCCGTACATTCGCGTTTTCAACGCATCATAAAAGTCATCAGGTTTTGATATCACCTGCCTGCCAAGAGTCACACCACCCAAGAACTTGCCCTCGAATCGCTTATGTGCCTCTGATTGTCGTATGGTTTGCAGTAGTGTACAATCCTTCGAGCGTATCGATTGCAGTCGACAGGATCGTCTAACCGCTATGAGCGGATATAGGGGTTCTACCCCGAGACCTCCGTCACGTACCCGTGTGTGGAGATAACTATTACACGCATCATGTGGTAATCCCAACCACTGACGCACGCGCTTTCGAATTAATATATCGACTCTTTCCAGTTCAGTTTTTCCCACGGCGCCCGCCTGGTCCATGTATTGCAGTCGAGGGAAAAACTGAACTGGAAAGAGTCGATATATTAATTCGAAAGCGCGTGCGTCAGTGGTTGGGATTACCACATGATGCGTGTAATAGTTATCTCCACACACGGGTACGTGACGGAGGTCTCGGGGTAGAACCCCTATATCCGCTCATAGCGGTTAGACGATCCTGTCGACTGCAATCGATACGCTCGAAGGATTGTACACTACTGCAAACCATACGACAATCAGAGGCACATAAGCGATTCGAGGGCAAGTTCTTGGGTGGTGTGACTCTTGGCAGGCAGGTGATATCAAAACCTGATGACTTTTATGATGCGTTGAAAACGCGAATGTACGGCACCCTAGATGGTGGGGGCCTTAAAGTTTCCAGCCTGAGCACATCATCACACCTATGGGTCACGTCCCCGAAAGGGATGTTTCCTTGGATATATCGCAAAGCCGTACAACTACGAGGCCACACCCTAAAAACGAAGGCAAGGGCATCACGGGGTGGAAGATCCTGCGGTGATCTTTGGTGCAACGGTGGGTGTAAGAAAACAGAGTCTTTGATGCATATCCTCCAGGAATGTAAACTTACCGAAAGACTGCGTATTGCTCGGCACAATCGAGTGATGCTGAAGCTGGAAGGTTCCCTGAGGCGGGCGGGCCTCTCAGTTATGCGGGAGCCGTACATCCGAAAGGGCAAAAGTTACGTGAAACCGGATCTGTCGGTAAGTGCAAAAGGTAAGATTTTTGTATTGGATGTGATAATATGTAATGATAATAGACTATCGCAATCGTGGAACTCAAAGATACGTAAGTATGACACATACGATTTAAATGAGAAATTCAGACAGGTATGCAACCTCAATAAAGCATCGGTCCACCATCTACCGATAGCTATTACTATGCGCGGGATAATTGATGGGCGGTCAGAAAAAGGCCTGAGTGAAATGGGTTTGGCCAAGACGGCAATATCGTGGCTGTGCGAACAGACAATCATAGGATCACTGATATGCTATGATGCCTATAGGAATGACTCGTTGGCCCGAACAGTCAGGCGATAGTGTAGTAGCAAATACCTAACCAGAGGCAGGACTGTATCCGCCCCCACTGGTTTGAATATGACATGCACCTGGCTTCGTGCACCTGGCTTTGCGATATGTCCAAGGAAACATCCCTTTCGGGGACGTGACCCATAGGTGTGATGATGTGCTCAGGCTGGAAACTTTAAGGCCCCCACCATCTAGGGTGCCGTACATTCGCGTTTTCAACGCATCATAAAAGTCATCAGGTTTTGATATCACCTGCCTGCCAAGAGTCACACCACCCAAGAACTTGCCCTCGAATCGCTTATGTGCCTCTGATTGTCGTATGGTTTGCAGTAGTGTACAATCCTTCGAGCGTATCGATTGCAGTCGACAGGATCGTCTAACCGCTATGAGCGGATATAGGGGTTCTACCCCGAGACCTCCGTCACGTACCCGTGTGTGGAGATAACTATTACACGCATCATGTGGTAATCCCAACCACTGACGCACGCGCTTTCGAATTAATATATCGACTCTTTCCAGTTCAGTTTTTCCCACGGCGCCCGCCTGGTCCATGTATTGCAGTCGAGGGATCACATGGCCTTTCAGTATGTCTAACCGTTGAACCACTGTCAATGGGGCCTCAGTGACCTCCCACAGTAATTTGTCCGCCGTTGCCTTTATCGGCTGCGAAGTTATTCCTTGAAAGTTAAATTGGATACCAAGATACTTAAAACATGTAGTGACGTTTATGGGGCCTAAGGAAACCCCGCCAATATTGTATATGTGAGGGACGACACATATGGTTTTACTTTTACCATTAGCAACCATAGTTAGGCTCCTTGACTTGCTCACATTGATAATCAATCCAGCTTGTTGCAAATTGATGTACAGCTGGTCGAGTTTGTGTTGCATCCCCGCAGTGGTCTCTGCGAGGATCATCATGTCAAGTTAAAAAGCCTATTCAAACACAAGGCTAATAAAGCGGGACTGGAATGTGGTAGACTGGGTTACAGCCTAGGTTGATTATAGGTAAGAAAGAAAATGGAAGTAGATGCAGCAGATTGTTGTACACCAAAAATTGAAGAAAGTGTGGTGAACTTTCTAATACTTTTCTAATATTCCAGTGTTCAGACAACACAATCAACGGTAGTATCTGTTTAATTATTAAAATTTTATAGGTTGTGTGGTTTCAGAAATGTCCCCAGCCATTCATCTTTCGGTGAAAGACGAGTTAGACAAAATGGTCATTGAAATGATGAAAGGGGGTTATATAAGCATAAAGAAGGCTGATCAAATACTGGACATTTTTCGTGCGCGGTATCCAGAACTTCCAACGTCCGTCCGAAGTGTTCTACGTCGATGCAACGACGTGGAGCCTAAGATCCTAGATTCTGGAACGTATTACCATTTAGGATTGAAATCCAGTCTTTTGAGAATTTCAGGACACTGGCTACGGCGAATCCATTTCAACGAATTACAGTTGCAGTTAAACTACGATGGTTTATGTTTGTTCAAAAGCTCTAACCAACAGCTGTGGCCGATCCTAGGTCGTATAGTAGCTCCACTAGTTAGTAGTGTTTTCGTAGTTGGGATCTACTGGTGAAGTAGTCGAACGCGTTGACAACTTCACTTATCTTGGAAGTCTGATCAGCCCTAATGGGTTGGTATCGGACGAAATCTCAGCACGGATTCGAAAATCTCGTTTGGCTTTTGCCAACTTACGTCACCTGTGGCGAAGGCGAGATATCCGTCTATCAATAAAAGGACGAGTATACTGCGCGGCAGTCCGTTCTGTTTTACTTTACGGTAGCGAAACATGGCCATTAAGAGTAGAAGACACTCGTA